CAATCTCGCAACCTTGCATTGTTTTGCATTATATCCACAGAGATGTGCTGAGGTCTGAAACTTGCCTAACAACAAAGTTCAAGCATTTAAAACACGAGATGAGCTTGGGGAGAAATTGACAGCATTTTACATGTGAACTAAACAAAGTTAAACAAAAAAAAAAAAAAAAAAATCCAGGAGTGTCTGCAAGTCACATTCTAAGCACTAGGGGGCGAGCAGGCCATCTTGTTTACACAGTTAGGCACAGCAGGAAAGGGACCAACCAGGAAAATGTGCTTATTGGTAAGAACAAATTTAGTCCTCATAACAGACCAAAAAGACTTAATAATTGCTACATCACCAGTCAGTCTTTTCAGAGAAAACTGTCCTTCTCGTGTGTCAGGGGGAAATGAGACTTTCTCCCCAAGCTGACATGAAGGCAGGAGGGAAGTGACCAGCAAAGCATCCAACCCCAACCTGTCTTTATTCCTTGGGTTCACCAAGTTCTTTGCCAGACCTGACAACTTCTCTGCACCTTCAGGAGCCCTGACCCCAGAGTCCCCTCCCATAATCACGTCCTCTCACATACTTCCCCCTTGAGTCAGCTCCAGTGCCCCCTACATGGGACCTCATTTTTCTCCTTCCATGCACACCTCAACCTTCACAGGTTGTCATCCAGGGAACTGCCCTCAATTCAGCCTCCACCAACATGGCCTTGGTTCTCTGGGTACAACATCTGATCTAATCTGATTGGGTTTTTTGTTTGTTGATTGCTGTCAATATTTTAGTAAAGTGTTTATTTTCTTTCCCTCTGTAAATGAAGGCTCTTTTCATTCACTATGACCTCTAACAGTAAGGACATCTCCCCCGGGCATTTCAAAGGCATCTCCAACCTTGTACCCACTCCTCATGCTTTGACTCAGTCAAAAGTGCTGGTGGAGTACGAACCATCATTTTCTAGAAGCCGTCATCCACTAACTGGACTATTCCGTACACACTCCCCGCCTTATGACTCAGTCAAGGGTGCCCATAAAATGTGGACAATCATCTTTCTCTAGAAGCCATCATGCACTAACTGAACTATACTGTACACACTCCCCGCCCTATGACTCAGTCAAGGGTGCCCATAAAATGTGGACAATCATCTTTCTCTAGAAGCCATCATCCACTAACTGGACATCCCTG